TTGATACCATAAATAAATATTAAACTAAAAAAAAAAAATTAATTTTTTATTAACTTTTCAAATCACTTTTCAAAAAGCTAAATAGCTTGGTGAAGAGTCAAAAGTTAATTTTTTACCAACTTCTCCAAACACCGTGAAGAGAAATTGTGAGTCAACGACGGCCAAATTTGACGTTGTTCATTGAAAACTGTGATGATAGTAATCCACGGCAGTAATGGTGGATGAAAAATGTGGCACCCACCAACATTGATGGTAGTGACTTAGAATTGTTGACGATAGGGTTAATGGAATGGACGCAAGTTTATGAATAATTGTTTGACATTTGACTAAAATATTTAAAAATATATTATAAATTGTTATGTTATTTTTTATATTTTTTTATAACAAATTAAAATTCAATTAAAATAGTAAATTTTCAAACAAGATGGGTTAAAAAGTTTTTTGTGAGATTTAGGTCTTGTTTGGAGAGTAACTATTTTAGTTAAAAATTTAAAAAGTTATTATAAGTTGTCACATCACTCTTTTTATTTTTTTGCATATATTTTTATAAAAAGTCAAAAAATTACTAAAATAATTTATTTTCAAACAATTGAAATTTTTTGAACATTCCCTAATTTGAAATTGGACAACAAAATTAAGGAATGAATCATTATCATTTTATAATTAACATTATCTTTTTGAAGTTTATTCCCAACTTTACTATTTGTGATTTCCAGCCTCCCCCAATTTGTTCCTTGACCTTTGTAAGGTTTTTGCTTAGTTAATTTGTGTTCTTTCTATTCTTAAATTGATAACCAGAGATCGCACTGATTTGGGGGATCTAGGTAATGCGGCTTCTAATTGTTGTGTTTTGTCTAATTCTTTGAATAACAGTGTTAATTTTCAGGTACATATGTAAAGGAAGTTCGGCCGTAAAGAAAACCATCCCACTTGGTTTGAGCAGTGGGGGAGGGTGTAAAAGGATAAGCATTATCCTTAAGAGATTGAATCCTAGGAGGACTCTGTATGGAGAAATACAAGTCCTACTAGGATTGTGCCATATGAAACTTATAAAAGCTCACAAGCAACACCTTGGAGGAGGTAATTGAACACAATCTTTCTGAAAACTTAGAGCCTTGTCTATTTGTCAAGTTTTCTGACTTAGGCATCGGAGAGGTTTCCGGCACACACCCGCCGGCTAGCTCACGTTTGTATTTTCAGGTGACAAAGCGACGTCGTACGGAGGAGCGTGGACTTGGTCAACAGGATTATACGAGGAGAATTATTTCCTCCCCGTACAATAGCGATGGCAATGGTTGGAGATTGTGGTGAGGGAGTAGTGGGTAGTGGAAATGGAGGAAAGGGTGGCAAAAGATATAGTATGAAAATAAAATAAAAACATTAGGAGAGCTTTAAAATACACCTCCTCACCTTCTCAATACACTCAATTTTTTTTATAAATAGGTGTAGAAAGATATTTAAGGGTTGTATTTAGAAAATTTCATACAATAGAGAGAAACATGCAGTAAAATGACATATATGTCTTAAAAAAAATTATTTATGTGACGGGCATATGTTATTTTTTATCAACAAATTTACGTTGTGTTTGGTTGGAGGATTTGAGGAGGGATTTGGAAAAGGAAAGAGAAAAGTTAGGTAAAATATGAATAAAACATACCTACATTAATTTCACTTAGTTTTACACACTTTTTTTTTTTTTCAAATCTCTCCCCAAATCCTTCAACCAAACACAACATTAATGTTAGATTTAAGGAAAAATCACATAGCAACTTGAGAATAAAATATACAAGTGTTGACTGTTATAATTTTAAGATGATGAAAAAAATATATATTGTAGGATATGTAAAAAATACGTTTTGATTTTATCTTTCTTTTTACATTATTATTATTTTTATTAGTAGTGTGTTGGGTTGTCACATGCGAATAAACAAACATAACGGCCAAGTGGAAATGTAGTAGATGTCCCATAAACAAATCGTTAATGATTTATTCATGCTAATTTTTTGTTCGGAGTTTCTTCGAATAAGATTCTTACCGGTAAAAAATTGAGAGGATTCAGTGAAAAATTTGTGTAAATAAATCATTGCTGTAAACAAATATAATAATAATGAAAATATCATACAAATAAATTTTATAAATTTTTTAATTAAATGATGTATTATATAATAATGAAAATTTTGAATTTGAAACACGATCTACTTTAATAATGCAATACACATTGCTCTAGTGAATAAAAAAATTATAAATTTTGTTAATTTGTATAGTATTTCTTTATTAACAATAACATGATGAAAAATATTATACAATTAACAAATTTTATAAAAGCAAAGTTTGCTGAATTGTCAATGATATTAAAATTTAAAACATGACCCACTTCAATAGTATCACAAGTCTCTTATAGTTTTCACATAATTACACAAATTTTCGTTTTCGTAAGATTAAAAAAATTAATCTATATTTATACTGTTATATAAAGCAAAGACTGGACTTTTAGTATCTTTAAACATTTACTTCTCTTCATGCCACATGGCGTGTGGATTTCTCTATTTAAAAAAAGGTATATATAGAAGTGCACGTTCCAAACCAAGACCTTAGGTCCGAATAAGAAATTTCTTACCACTTAAGCAATGTACATATTTTGATATTAATTTATGGGTACATTACACAAACACCCCTTAAGGTTCAGTCCAATTATATCCCACCCCCGACATTTTGAAAATTACATTCCCACCCATGTGGTTAATAATCTCATTTCACAAACCTCTTTACTTATATAAAAAGTAACAACTCTTAGTAGAAAAATAGATAAAATTACATTGAAAAAAAAAAAGTAAAGCAAAGCAAAGGAAAAAAAAAAGAGAAAGTAAAGCAAAACAAGAAAAAAAAGGGTGCATGAGTTCAATGTGTTTATTCTGTCTAAATAATTACAATAATAGGAGGTTAGTGTAATTTCCCAAACGTCAGGAGGTGATATGTATTAAATCCAAATCTTAAGAGATGTAAGTGTAATTTACCCTTAATTTATTTATCATTTATTTTTATTTTTACTTACTTTAATTGCACATGCATCACAAGAATAAATAAATAATATATATTAGTATAAAAAAGGATGACAATGTCATTTTTCCATCCATATAATTAACAAATTATTGATGAGAATGAGGCTAAATATTATATGAATTACAACCATAAGGTTGTGCTTAGATTATGAATTTAGGTAGAAATTTGTTAAAAGAAAGGTAAATATAAGAGGAATGTGAACGAAATATAATTTTTAATTTTTATTATATATATATATATATTTCTTTTCAAATCTCTATTCAAATCTATTATGCAAACACACAACATTAGAGAATATATAATTATTCTAAAATTATAAGACTTCTTATATGTTATTTAAATATTAAGAGGGGTAGTGCACTTTGTCTTAATTTTTTTTTCTTATTTTTTGTAAAAGTTATTAATTTTGTATAGTATTATAGTAGTGTAATAAATAACCGAGTTGGCCCCAAGTGGGAAGTGCACTAGAGAATATTCTATTAGAGTGTAATAACTAATTCCCAATTTAATCTTTACTTTAAATTTATAATTCAAACACTTTAAGAAAATATATAATTATTCTAAAATTGTAATACTTACCGTATGTTCTTCAAACCTTAATAGTGATCAGTGTAATTTGAAAATTTATTATATAGTCTGCTAGTAGCATGTGGCATTGGTTATATAATGCTCTCGATCAATAAAAAGTTACAACCTACACTAAGTGAGTCATTCCTTATCTCTCAATTACCTAATAAAGATAAGTCACTATATGTTACACTACAAGAAAACATAGCAAAAAACACGGAGTTTTAGCGACGCCGCGCCCCCCGTCGCAAAAAACGGTTTTTTGCAACGGTAACTGCACCTGTCGCAAATAATAGCCTTTAGCGACGGTACTGACCCGTCGGTAATGAAACCAAGCGGAGGGGTCGGAAATGCGGAAGTATTAGCGACGGTAAATAAAACCGTCGCAAAAGTGAGTCATTCCTTATCTCTCAATTACCTAATAAAGATAAGTCACTATATGTTACATACATAATTTTCTACCAGTTATTAATTTAAATCACTACATAAATAATATAATGTTGCGGAAGTACCCAAGAATTAATTTAGTAATTTATCTTTTTGAAAACAAAATTTGCTAGTTATTAATTTTGTATAGTATTAACCTCAAGGTTGACCTTGTGCTTAATACTTGGAGGTTAAATGTGTACTCCCTCTAAAATCTCAGTTTCAAAATCTTTTAAGTATAAATAATTTTTTGAGACCGGTCCATAATGAGTTATTTAACCTTTGTTTGGGAAGAATTTTTTTAGCCTAATTTTTTTAGTTTTATTTATTTATTTATTTATTTTGCTATTTTAACTTAGCTAAAAAAGGTTTTTTTGGAAAGAACTTTTGATTTTTTTTTTTGTAATTTTTTGTGATAGAAAATGTAAAATGATTATGGTTAACATTTTCTCTTATTAATTTTTTAACTTATTTTATTTTTTAATGGGTTAAATTAGTTCCAACTTATTTCCCAAACGAGGCCACAAAACTGGATGATTTAAATAAATGCACTTTTAACTTTTTACAAAATGATATGTAGAAAAATAAAGAGGTGACGTGACTCAAAAAAAATAAAAAAATAAAAAAGTATACTTATATAGTACACCTCCAAATAAAACCTAAATTAAGTTTTAATGATAGTATTTTGTTTGGCATGTGTTAAACTATCAAATACTATTTTAACATATTATTTTATTTGAGTCACAATTATTTTATTTAGATCATATCATCTTTCTATCATATCACTTTAATCACAACGCACATCTCACATTTTTTGATAAAAAAATTAGAATATATAACCTAACATTTCAAACAATCCCTCGTGTTATTCCATATTATTGTAATGTAATTTGAGAACCAAGTTGGGGGGAGTGGGAAATGCACTAGAAAAGTCACCCCCCAAAATTCCCATTCCTCAATTCTTGGGATGGCCCACCAAAACCATTACCTACAAAGCGCTCTCTTTCCACGGACCTACGAAACCACGACGACGACTACGAGTTCCAGACTCGCTTTTTCCGAGTCACCCCACTCTCTCTCTCTCTCTCTCTCTCTCTCTCTCCCTCCCACGCACACTCTTCCTCCTCCGCCACCGGCGATCTCAGAAGCGATCATCAGGTACTTTCTCTCTCTACCACACTCTTCTCTCTCTCTAAAAAACCATTTACGGATTCAATAGTCCACGACCCTGATCAGTGAATTCGGATCTCCATCATCGCCCCATGGCAAGAGCTGTCATACTCTTCCTAGGGTTTTTCCTCTTTCATTCGATTCAATTCTGTTCTTCAGATCCGACTTGTCCCAAGTCCAACACCACTTCTTTGCTCAATTTCCAATCTGAATTCATAATGCTTCAACACCAACTCAGAGGCCACTTTGAGTTGATTGATGATTGTTCTTTTAGGGTTTCTCAATTTGATATGCTTCAAGGCTCTGATGTGCACTTTTGGGGTGCGATCGGTGATGATTTCTCTAATTTAACTACTGGGTTTGTCATATCTGATATGAAACTTAACCAAACTTATAGAAATGATAGCTTTGTTGTCAATTTGATGAAGAATGTGAGTTGGGTTAATGTCACAGTCGTTGCCGTTTGGGACGTACCCACGGCATCGGACTTTGGACATGTTGTATTGAAAAATTTGAGAAATGGGTCGGAGAATTCTGCCCCGTCGCCTTTGCCTTCACCTTCACCGGGTGTTGGCGGAGACAATTCGAGTGTTTGGGTTGATGAGCAGCCCACAATGTTTGAGAATTGTAAGACTTTGTTACCAAATTATAGGATTAGGTGGACATTGAAGGTGGATGAGGGAGTAATTGATATTGGCTTGGAGGCTGCTACTGGGTATCAGGATTACATGGCCTTTGGATGGGCAGTACCCAATTCATCACCCAAGTTTATGCTCGGTGCTGATGTGACGGTGACTGGGTTTAAGGAGGATGGTATGCCATTTGCTGATGATTTTTACATTACCAAGTATAGTGAATGCACTAGAGATGAGAATGGCAAAGTTCAGGGTGTGTGTCCCGACACGTTGTATGAAGGGGGGTCAGATAGTGCTGATTCGGTAAACAACACGAGGTTGGTTTATGGGCATAGGAAAGATGGGGTGTCATTTATCCGGTATCAGAGGCCATTGAAGTCGGATGCTGATAAGAAGTATGATTTGTCGGTTAATCATGTGGATAACATGATTGTGATTTGGGCTATGGGTTTGATAAAGCTGCCTGATAGTATCTTTCCTTATTATCTTCCCAAAAATCATGGTGGGACTTATGGGCATTTGATGCTTAATGTTTCTGAGCACGTGAATGATTGCTTGGGACCACTGGATGCCGAAGATAAGGAGGATCAAGATCTCGTCACTGCAGATGGAAATGCACCACTCGTTGTTACCACAGGCCCTGCTTTACATTATCCGAATCCCCCAAATCCTTTGAAAGTTATTTACATTAATAAGAAAGAGGCTCCTGTTTTGAGGGTAGAAAGGGGGGTTCGTGTGAAGTTCTCAATACAAGCTGGTCATGATGTAGCATTTTATGTTACTTCTGATCCGCTTGGTGGGAATGCAACTCTAAGAAATATGTCTGAAACTGTTTATGCAGGGGGGCCAAAAGCTGAAGGAGTCCAAGCTAGTCCTACAGAATTAGTTTGGGCACCAGACCGAAACACCCCAGATCAAGTTTACTATCAGTCAGTGTTTACACAGAAAATGGGTTGGAAAGTTCAAGTGGTTGATGGGGGTTTGTCAGATATGTATAACAACAGTGTTGTTTTAGATGATCAGCAAGTTACTTTATTTTGGACACTGTCAAAAAATTCAATATCTTTTGCAGCTCGGGGTGAGAAAAAAAGTCGTTATCTTGCAATAGCGTTTGGTAGTGGGATGATAAATAGCTTTGCTTATGTGGGTTGGGTTGATGATGAAGGCAAAGGGGGGGTTAATACCTATTGGATTGATGGAAAGGATGCCTCAAAAATACATCCAACAAATGAGAACTTGACATATGTAAGATGTAAGTCAGAAAATGGCATGATCACTTTGGAGTTCACCCGTCCCTTGAATCCATCATGCACTGGGAGTGACAGGCCAGAGTGTAAGAATATTATTGATCCTACAACCCCTCTGAAAATGGTCTGGGCCATGGGTTCTCAATGGTCTGGAGACAATTTAAATGAGAGAAATATGCATTTTGTAACTAGCAGTAGGCCAGTTCGGGTCCTTCTTATGCGTGGTTCTGCAGAGGCAGAGGAGGATTTACGCCCTGTATTGGCTGTACATGGATTCATGATGTTTCTTGCTTGGGGAATTTTGCTTCCAGGTGGAATATTGGCAGCTAGGTACTTAAAACATGTTAAGGGTGACGGATGGTTCCAGCTTCATGTTTACTTGCAATATTCTGGATTAGCAATTGTCATGCTTGGCTTTCTTTTTGCTGTTGCTGAGCTTCAGGGTCTACATTTCGACTCAGTACATGTTAAGTTTGGAATGGCTGCTATTTGTTTGGCTTGTATACAACCAGTGAATGCATACATGAGACCTAAAAGGACAGCTCATGGGGAGCAGGCTTCCTCAAAAAGGCTTATTTGGGAGTATATTCATGTTATTGTTGGCAGATGTGCCATTGTTGTTGGGATCGCAGCTCTTATTAGTGGAATGAAGCATTTAGGTGATAGATATCGTGGCGAAAATGTTCATGGGCTCGAATGGGCTTTGATAGCTTGGTTCTTGATTGGTGCTTTGACAGTAATGTATTTGGAATATCGGGAAAAAAAGCATAGGAGGGATAGAACTGCTGGAAGCAGCAATTGGGTGTTGGGTAATAGTGAGGATGAGGATATTGATCTCTTGAGCCCAAGTAGGGCATTTGCAGAAAAAGAATCATCTCAATCTGAAAGAATGGAAATTCAGCTAGAACCTCTTAGCAGATAAGGGATCTTTTGTTCAATTATTTTTTTTTAATATAGATTTGCTACTGTTCTTCAACAGTTTTGAATTTTTTACTTACACAGAAGATAGCATAAGCTTGTTTATTTGCTTGTAAGGTTCTTGCCTTCTTGGATGTTACTGTTAGGGTTGAGTTTCACTTGCCAATCATTCTTATATTTCCCTCCAGCATTCATCCTGGAGATCAAATATCCTCTGACATGTATTTTGTATACTGGATACATTTATTTGCAAAATTAGAAACTCTCTCTCTCTCTCTATCTCTGTGTTATTTGGTAAGGTTTAATGCAATATCAAAAACATGCTGTCTTATGCAGTCAAAGCAGCTTCATTTTTTTTTTTAACTTTATACTTTCATAGTTAACTCTTCAGTGCCTTTTTTTTTTTGGGTTCCTCTACAATCAACTTTCTAATCTTGTATTGTTTTGGTATGTTCTTGCTAATACCAGCAATGTAGGACATGATTTTCAGTTGATTGAACATTATATTTTGTGAATAGTTGCTGTTCCATTAACTCATCTTTACTTGTTTATTCAAAAACATTTCTTTTTGTTAGTGATTGCCTTACACTGGACACGCTTCCAAAATAGTATGGATTCACTCTGTTATGCTGAACTCTATTATATGGAAACCGGGTATATTCCCATTCATCAACAGAAAGTTTCATTAATACCACTTTTGCAAGTTGTTGAACCATTCTTGGTAGTCTTCATATTAGATAGTAGATATTTCCAGGCCTTGCTTCCTACATTTGGCTCCAAATTATCCATCTTCATATGACTTGTTTGCGATTTGATGAAAGAAAAGTTAATGTAGTGTAAGTGTAATCTCTTATGACTAGCACTTGATTTGTATTATTGTTCATCAGGAAAAACCGGACTTCTACTAGGCCTTGGAGAGATTTTAAAGTTTCTTTCATTATTTTACTTTTCAGCACAGTTGTGTAATATTTTCAGCACAACTAGCTCCTTGATGCATCAGGCAAAAAATGTGTTTATTTTATTAGTTGTTATAACAAGCTTATGATTAGCTGTAACAAAAATTTATTAGTTGCTATATGATCTCTTAAAGTGCTGCAAAAGGTTTGCTTGAATTCAAAAATGTACCAACAGTTTGGTACAATTTTGACATGTTTTACTGGGCTTTGTTTTTCCGTCCACAATCTTAACATCTGTAAAGGTTGCCTTTAAACAAATTTGGCAGAATTTAAATTGTTGATTTGCTACCTGTTCCTGTTGATTATAAACGTTGCATTTCATTTATTTGAGTGGTCTTTTAAACCCCGTTCCTTTTTGTTTGTGTAATGCAACTATATTTGATTTGTCAATGGTGTTGATATTGGGGATTAGTATATGTTTTGTGATTCCAATTTCTACTCAATCTTCAACACTCCCACCCCTCACAAACTCCATGGAGAGAAATAGGCTCTCAGATAAGTAACTTCATGTGGGAAACATACAAGAAAGGTTATATTTCTTGTTTTGCTCATGGTTCATTGAGTATATTTGATGCATTTTTTCTGATGCTGAAATTCGACAGTCAAGCTGAAGCACCCTATCAACTTTCTTAACTTTCATAAAAGTAATTTTTGTTTTCTATTTCTTTCTTTTTCGCCACCAAATTAAAAACTTCTATGCAAGGACGGGTGAACTCCATTTGGTCTTTGTTTTGCATGATTCTGTAATTCTCCCAGATAATTCTTGAGAAAAAAAATTGAAAGTCATCAGTAATGCTCTGAAAATAATGGTGTGTGATAGTCCTAAAATCTCATTTTCTCATAAAATGAACAACAAATTAGCCCAAGGATAAATATTAGAAAAATAAAAACTGAAAATAAAGATAGATCAGCTTAGGTTGCTGTGTTTTATTGTGGTCGTTGTGGTTTCTTTGTGCTGGCACTTGTGTGTTCTTTGTGTTGTGAGATTGCAATATCTTGAAAAAGGGTATTCTTCTCAACTCATCATAAGGACAAAAAAAAGTAAATGTCTTGAAGTGGATACCGATTCAAATCAGGACATTTTGAGATGTATGACATGTTTTCATATATGGATCGACTTGAAATAGCTTTAATCCAAGATTGAATTCTTGTGCGGACTCTCAAAACTATGAATTCAAATGCCACGGCCGAAGATCTGGTCAGGAACGATGTTTCAACTGAGCTGAACAAGGTAATGCCTTTTCATTTAGATCTCAGTGTGGATGATGATGCTGATGTTTTCATGCCTCTCGGAGAACTGTAGGTTAGGAGATAATTTAGTAAAAAGTGGTCCATCGTAACAGAAAAATGCTTGGGACCTCTAATTAGAGGTACCACTAGTGATGTGGCAGTGGGTTCCACTCACTGCCACATCAGTGCTGTTTTTTTTTTTTTTTTTTTTTTTTTTTTTTTTTTTACCTTTTCCACCTCATTAGAGGTCTGCTTAGAGCCTCTAAATTAGAGGTCTCTAGCATTGCCCATCGTAATATAAGGGCCTGTCTGAAGCTATGTAAGAAAAAAATGATTATGGCCATCAACTTTTCTCATCGATCATAACTTCTACCAAAATTTGAAAGATGAGGGGAAATTTCGGTTATTACACTGGCTTAACGGGTCGGTTGTCGAGGTGAAGAAAAAAGGGTTGTCACAAACAAACATGCAAGTTGTTTCGGGTCCAATATTTTTTTATTCTTCATTTCTTATAATAAATATAATTCCAAATTTCATATTTCATAAATGACTATAATAACTAGTTAATAAAAGCTATTTTTTAACACAAAAAGCATAAAGTATAGCATTATTTTCTAAGATGCTAACCAAAAAAAATAAAAATAAATTAACTAATAAATAAAAAAAAGCACAATTATCAATGCATTGACAATCATGGTTTTTGACTAAAAGTTTATCATCACATCTCTACCAAACAATGGATGCTCATGGATCGGGTTTCACCATTCATCTGAACTTAAGCAGATTAGAAAAAATACATCTACATCTGTCTGAGCGAACCATCGAAATAGTCCATTCTGTAGTAGATCGATTTTGGCCATTCAATTTTGAAGAGTTGAATGGATTCTTGTCTAGATCTACTGCTAAATCGTTGTCGGCTGGTCGATAAAAGTGATTGATGGCAACAACAGTGGTTGGTAGCGGCAAATGTGAAGGTGGTAATGATATGAAAGAATAATAGACTCATAGTATCATTTTTTTTGTCCAAGTTACTATTTGGCCTTGTTTATTTACCATATATAAGGAGCATATATAAGGATAGGACCAGATATAATATGAGGTGCGTCCCACATGTTTTCTTGTTTCCTTATATCTCCGTGTTTAATTGCTCCGGATATGAAGAGTCCAGATAGTATATGATGCAAAAGGGAGATATGCAATACCAACCCTCCATGATATTGTTTATTCTCCACTGTAGGATATAGGAAATCTTTCATCCAAACGTCAAAAATAATTACTCTCATCTTATCCCATCATATATCATAACTTAACCAAACATAATAGAGGTAATTCCACAGTATATATAATCCATCTCATTTCCTATAACATATTATATCTCATCTTTATCTTTAGGTATTACATATCATGCTCAAACTCTTATATTCAATCCGGACAATCAAACAGGCCTTTGAGTCTTATCAATTTTCAATTTTGACAACTCATTACCTGTTTTTTTGGTGCTTCTAAATGCACCACAAAATATTGGTTTCATGTGTTTTTTTATTATTTAATACCATTCCACCCTTAAAATAAATTACTAAAATAAACCTTATTTGAAAACCTAACCCTAACCCTAACCCCTCTCAACTCCAACTACTACCTCCACCCTTCGGCGACAGCACCAAAGCATTCTCTCTAGCCACTCGCCACCTCTCATCTTCCTTGATTTGCCTGTCGCCGCTTCTTTTTTCTTTGCCACTGCTGCCATCACCTCCTTTCCATCATTGCTACCACCTTCGCAACAACCTACTCCTCTCGTTACCACCACATGTTCTTCTCGTCACTGTCACCGCTTCCAACTCCTTCCATCACCGCTGTCTCTACTGCCATCTTCTCCTCCCAGCATCTTTTCCTTCACTTCTTCTCATCATTGCCCTTACTTTCTTTACTGCCATCGCAACCTCCCTCTCGCTGTGAATCCCCAAGCCAACCCCCCATTCTCTATGAATTATCTTCTCCCTCTCCCTTAAACCCTAGATCTAGGGTTTTAGATTTGAAAATTTTGAAAACCCTAGATCTAGGGTTTAGGGAGGAGGAGGATGAGGAGAAGAAGAAGAGGCAGCGGGGGCGACGGTCGATGATAAGCTGCAAATAAAGTGGTGGAGGGAGGAGAGGTGATGACGTTGTAGAGGTGGCGACGGTGAAAAGACGCAATGGAGGTGGCTTTGGTGGCGATAAAGGTGGAGAGGGGTGGCGAAGGTGCTCTAGCAATGATGGCAGTCCCAACAGTAACTAGGTGAGATGGGTAAAGTTAGGGAAATTCTATTTCCACACACCACATTATCTTTGTGCACACACTTAATGATCTTTAATTTTATTACAAATTTACCCTGAAATAAAATGACCAAAATAGACATCCATCTACACACTTAAACATCCAAAATAGAGATATCTGTACACATCTTTTTCTTGTAAAAGCTCTCTATGCACATCCACTGTCCATTTATTCACACTCATTCTCACACACTCCACTCTTTTTCACACTCTTCATTGCTACATTCTTCCTCTACTCATTTTCACATTTTATTGCATACATTCTTCCTTCATTCTTTCTCACACACTCCATTGCCTACCTTCTTCCTCCATTTTCATCTTTTTAGGTTTTTTCATGCTCAAACATAATAAAACTACATCAGCATATAGCAGGAACAAAATTACCACAGTGAAGCGGTGGCATTGGCTTCGCAAACTCCCAATTCCAGTAATCCAAAGGCTTCAGAGATTGTGGACGAAACTGTTGCGACCGACGAAAAGGTTGATTTTGATTGAAAGGCGGCGGCGGCGGTGGATAACTGAAATGCAGTGGTGAATGATTGAAAGGCGGTGAAGGATTGAAATGCGGTCTAGGATTGAAATGAAGCCGAGATTGAGGCCAAATAGTGAAATTTAGTCCCTCCATGGGACGAAACCCTCGATTGGAGTTGCTGATAGACTGGAGGTGAGAGTCTTCGGTGACGAACTGACCTCTCCCACCGCAGCTAGTGGAGAGGTGGTCGGAGAAGTCTCTACGCCATTGATTCTGAGTAGGTCTGTACTATAATGAGTGAACACGAATGAA